ATGTCAAGATCAAAACAAATAATTATTTTGTGCAACCTTATATGAAATTGCAAGTCCCGTGAAATGTTCGGTGACTGTTCATCCTAAAAAGATTTTCGAAACTAGATAAGTCGATCATTTGTTTCATTTGGTTAGGCGACGACGCAATAAATCTGGCCATAAATAAAAAAGTCGTAAAATCAGGTCATAAATTAGGTGATAAATAAAATCAGGTCATAAATCAGGTCATGAAATCTGGCGATAAATAAAATTAGACCATAAAAATTAGGTAACATTAATATAATAAATTAGAATATAAATTATGCTTAGAAATAAATGTATATATAATTAAGCACTTAGATAAAGCGTAGAAGGGTCAAAACGTCAGACGTCACTAATTAACCAATAAAATTAAACACAATATTATCTATTGAAATGCTATACCTCCCACCTCAGATATATCCCCAAAAATCCTAGGTCCCAAAGTGGGGATATAAACGAGGTATGACTGTATCTAGTTAGAGCCAACATGCAAAACTTTCAGCCCCCCCCCCCACATAACATACCTAACAAGACTGGTTGCTTTTAATTATCTTGTAATTGTTGCAATTTTTTGTCACCACCAATTTTTTTTGCAACACACTGTATCTTCCCACTCCACCAAACACTTCCCAAAATCAGGAAGATCAGTGTTGTTGAGAAAAACTCTGATTACCATCAATCTTTCTTCCATATTTTACTGATCTTGCACATGATGTATATGGTATGTCCTTGATAATTCATTTCTCTAAAAATTATCCTTTGAGAATGTCTTCATAATTACTCCAAACCACTGTAAGCTGTTGGCCTCTCTAGATGATTGTGTTTCAACAAATGCTGTCAAAATCAGATACCCAACAGACCAGATATCCACACTCTTATTATAAAATCTCAGGTGCCCTTAATTATTAATATTAAAAGCAAATTCATTTAGAGCATGGCTCTCATAAGCCAATTGTTTGTGAAACACATGCATCATCAAAGTGTAGAGGTAAGCAGTCATTCTGATCTGCCAATCCGGTGAGCTAATGAGCCTGTTTGCCATTGAGATGCATTTTCCAAGTGAGATTGGTTTAAGTGAGATGTTACTATCGCTGAGTTGCTTGCTTTAGTATTATCACTGTTGTGAAGATGAGGAGGATGGGGAAAAGATGTATAAATAACGGCTGTGAAAGAAAGATCCATGTAGTATGTTTGCATCTTCAAATCGCATAGTTCCCGTATTTACGTAAATTATGCGAATTTGACAGGCTGGCTTCGTATTCATACTTTAAAAAAGAGTTGCGGGTTTCTGTCGTCAAAAGTGGGGAACCAGAAATGTTTGTAACGAATCTATGCTCGATGCATCGACGAGCATGGAAGTGCTAAAAAAGTCGGATCATTGGAGACGAATGACGGAAGAAGAGATGATAGAAGCATGGAGTAAGACCATATCAAAATCGCAGAGGAAGAAGACAATGAGTGGCGCATAGTGGTCGACAATTCGATGGGCAAGAGATATCTACCCAAATTATGACGCCTGCACTGACGACAGACCCGATTCCCCTGCGGAAGATACCCCGATGACGGTGTCTACAGTGATTAGAAAGAAGAAGAAACGAGAATAGAGGAAGTTGTAGGGAAAGAATTAGAGGCGCTTATATAGACTACAATAATTATAATATGGTCCTTGGATAACGTCGATAGAACACTTGGTTAGATCACGTGATGATCTTTGTTCAAAAAATTTCGGACTGATCTGCATTCTTTTTGATACTACCTATTACTATTGCTCTATGTCAGAGCCAGAATCTATATCAGAGCTAGAGTCTACGTCAGAGCCAGAACCACAGTCTATTTCAGTGTCAGAGCCAGAGTCTACTTCAGGGCTAGAGTCTATTTCAGAACTAGAGTCTATTTCAGGGCTAGAGTCTATTTCAGGGCTAGATATAGAGTCTATTTTAGAATTTATGTCAGAGTCAGAGTCAACTTCAGAGTCAGAGTCAACTTCAGAGTCAGAGTCAACTTCAGAACTAGAATCCAGTTCAGAATCTATGTCAGAATCTACTTCAGAGTCTATGCTAGAATCTATGTCCGAGTCAGACTTGATGTTAGAGCTAGAATCATCATCAGAATCAGAGACTGATACCGAATCAGAATCTATGTCAGAGACAGAGCCTATGCCAGTGCCAGAGTCTATTACTATGTCAGAACCAGAGTCTATGCCAGAGCCAGAGTCAGAGCCAGAGTCTATGCCAGAGCCAGAGTCTATGTCCGAGTCAGACTTGATGTTAGAGCTAGAATCATCATCAGAGTCCGAGACCGAATCAGAATCTATGTCAGAGCCAGAGTCTACACCAGAGGCAGAGCCAGAGTCTATACCAGAGGAAGAGACAGAGTCTATGCCAGAGCCAGAGTCTATGTCAGAGCCGGAGTCTATGTCAGAGCCGGAGTCTATGCCACAGCCGGAGTCTATGCCAGAACCAGAGTCTATGTCAGAGCCAGAGCCAGAGCCTATGTCAGAGTTGGAGTCAGACTCATCATTGGCATCAGAGTCCAATACTGGATCAGAGTCAAATAAACCTGCATCCGACAGTATTAACGGCAAAGATTCAGAATCCCGCAAGGACAAAGAACTAAAGAATGAAAGAAATTTAGAATCCAATAGTGAATCGGCTGAAGATTCAGGCACTGATGTATGTGTAGAAGAACAAATGCCATCGAGCAATAAAAAAAAGAAGAAAGCATCCCTAACACAGGTATTGATTGTATGAATATTATGATAGCTTTCGATTTTGTGTACAGTCCCGTGCTCATGCAATACTACATACGACATTCCCACCTAAACTCAAGTAGACAACAGATACAGACGTTCCGAATCCGATTCCACTCCTGGACAGACCAAAAGCCGCTAAACAATTTCGTAACTACTACATGACACAGTTGACCCAGGGATTTGGAGAAGATCTTGACAAAATTCGCAAGGTAGGAAAATAGTTTCAATAATACTTTATCTGATCTATACATTGATGTAAATCTAATGATTTGTAAATTTCTACCAGGAAGAAGGTTTCAATCAGAACAAACTAGAAGTCTTGATCTCATCTCTTGAATCAGGAATAGATATCTATTCGGATCTAGAGAAATCACTTACTCTTTCCTCTATGTTATCCGACTAATGAATTGCATGCATTCTTCGCTCATAATGACCAGAACGTCTCTCTACCCAAATCCATCGCTTGACTCCTTTCCATTAGTCTTTGCATCGTCACTATCCTCATTACTGCCTGTTTGCACCTTGTGAAATTTTGCTTGCAAAAACAATCTGTCCACACTCAATTGCTTTGCTTGGTTTGTAGTCTCACGCTGTATGAACTCAGCACTAATAGTTTTAAATCCCTCTGATTCAAATAAAGTTCTTAGGTACTCGATTGAAAAGAAATACGACATCGTGCCATCTTGTCGAATGTAAAGGTTTTCTTCGAGTTTATGATTTTTAGCATTCGAGAATTTCAACTGAGCTGCATCATAGATCCCATAGTCTCTGAAGCAGACAATAGAATTAGGTTTCATTACCTGGAAAAAAGAAAAAAGAAAAGCGATAATCGTTGAGAACGTTTTGTAGGAAAAGGAAGCATGGCGAGGATTAAAAAATTTCGAGATAAGTCAAAGTTGTTTACTTTTTTTATATTCCTGAGCGTATCGGCATGTTTCTCGGGTGGTATAGCTGAAAAGACAAAAACTGCAGATGCAAGATCAATCGTTTCCGGTTCAATATGTTGAACGAGATCGTCTTTGGTTAGGTCAACTACAAAAGCATGACATCTTGATTCGTCATATTGGGGATGCGACTAAAAATAACAGGAGATGAGTTAGGCAATACCCAAAACAGTTACATCATCTTGTAGAGATTACCTTGACAAATTCTATTGCTCGTTTAGAAAAGTCACATGCGTATATGAAAAGAGATGGATTAGCCTCGAGCACAGGAAAGATGAAATTGCCAACTCCGCAGCCTAGTTCCAAGACTTTCTAAAAAACAGTGAATGGGATAAATATGGCGACAAAGTATCATTATACCATGGTCGTCACTCCTTGGTTTGTTTTTTTCGCATCCTACCATGATTATTATTTCGAAACAAACCATCTATACCTTTTGTTTGGTGGTCTCATTTAGCTCGTCAAACTCCCTTCCGATCCAATGTCTATCCTTGAAAAATTTGGTAGTGTTTCTCTTGTAGAACAAGTCCCTAGTGTAAAATTTATTCAACAAACAGAGTATAGCGAAAACGTCCGATACCCAATAACTCAACTCACCAGTTTTTGGCAGCATCTATTCGATACTTATTCTGCCAAAATAATGGGATATTTTCGGTATCCTTGTCAAGAATAGATTTAGCTTTTTGCTCAAGATCAGAATTCATAGAAGAGTTTTGAATCCTTTTCACACTTCAATCGTTAGAAGATGACGTATAGTTGTGTTACGCCATTCAATAAGAGGATAATGATTATTTAAATATGAAAGGAACAGGAAGTAAAATTAGAGAATGAGAATGGGCGGACAAATTGAATGATCTTGGTGTACAAAACGATCTCGAGACATTAATATTGATGCTAATTATAGTGTAAATGTTTGGCAACTCTGTTTAACATCTTGGGAAAGATTGCCAAGCGAAAGTCCAATTGCCATGTTATAAACCAGATAAGTAAGTCATTTTTTACCACTAGCCATTGTATTCCGCAGTCGAAGTATATGTAAATTCGGTGTAGTTTTAAAGTCATTGTATAATTTGTAATTTGTCGAGTGGTTGCGAACCTCTTAATATTATATATTATATTGGGGAATTAACCCGTCTAGGATAAGTATTAATTATAATTAGTCATCGCTAATTAATAGTAATAGTAAACTTGGTCAGCATAGAACACTGCTTTTGAGTATAGATATAATACTTATCGTATTAGGTTAATGTTACACATACAATTTGAAAAACATAAGAGGGACGTGAGATGGACAACCGATAATGGCTTCATTAACTCCAATGCCTCAGCAACATGCCTCAAGGACGATGTGTTGTGCCAGTATTTCCGGGAGAGCAATGATATACTACGTTTAAATTAACTCCTATTTGAACCTTTCCTAGTTACTGGAAAGCTAATTCTCTTCCTCAGTTAATGCCTGTGATACGGTTTACCAGCTCACGCGTATCTACGCTGATTTCTAGATAGCTTCGATATACAGTACTTTGATCTTGTGGCGCTGTTAATGCTTAACCCATTAGTATTTGGCTTCTAAATATCGATTTAGCAGATTTCGTCCTGTTTACTTTAGTCAATTATACCCGCATTATTCCCTGTTTCAAAATATATGTTTGTTATTAGCGCTAGTCTCGTAACGTCCGAATATCGATCGTTCTACTGTAGACAATATTGAGATGTTCTACCAACTACTCATCTATTCATTATTTTACTGTAAATGGAACTGTGTTCTACTTTTGGTTCCCCATATAGGTCCAATGTGTAGCGAATATGTGTCATTGTATCAACGTGTCTATTTTCGTATCTGTCGATCAGCTCTAATTAGCGATTAGTCATCAGAGTTGCATTCTGCCTCTCAGATAACATCATCACAAGTAAGATTACTATATTAAAGAGACATTAAGGACTTTTGATTAATTGATGAAGGCAGCTATTTTAATATGCTAGACAACATTAACATTTTCGTTTTACACGTATATAACACAACAATCATTAGCAAGTTTTTCAGTTGATATGAGAATCTGTCTTGGCATGGACTGCACGAGTATTGATAGATAATAATAAATGGTACTTTAGTAGAAATTTCACGACAAATAAATTTCCGCGGTTTTTCAGGTGGTCGGTTAAATTCATACTAGCTCCTTCAGACTTTGCAGACACGCTGAAGAATTATAGGTGAGAACTTCCTGTCTCCAAAACATCAATAGAGAGAATTCGGCTATAAGACTGCTTTACAACTTGTCATGTGAGGATGTTGTACGAAGTCGGAGTACGGAAAGCCAACGTCTTTTCACCCCGACCGCAGTTTATTACTTACAACAATTCGCATACTTTCGATATGCGCAGCCAACCTTGATTACACAAATGTCACGCAGCCCATAGACAATCGACTTGTTACTACGTTAATACAAACAGACAATGCTTGGAACATTCTCAAATTATAAATACACTTCATCCTACATGAATCTCCCTGATTATTTTTTCCTGTTCGTTAAAAACCAACCAAATGGGCAATTCCAATTCTTGTTTTCACATACCATCGAGGTCTTCGCGTCGTAAAAAAAGACTCCAGCTCTCTCCCACAACAACTCTCACTAGCTTATCCGAACCTACCCAACCAGCTAAACAGTTATCGGAAACTACAGGAATGAGGCTGAACTACTATTGCGACAATGAGGCGGTCGAGAAGGGAGTTGAAAAGAACGAGACTGGCAGGAAATTGGAGTTGCCTGAATTGGACAAGTACTCGTATGTATTGGGTTCTCTCGTACAGTCAAAGAGGTGAAGACGGAGAAAACTAATCATATCCATCTCCTTTATGTGAATATCACGTGATATTCGTCATGTGGTTTTTTGAACAGTGAAACATTTAAAGCAGATTCAACTAATAACGTGGTGCTGAATGCAATCGCTGAGAATGACATAACCAAAGTGCTCTTAAGAAGAGATGTGAGTGTTCCGGCGGTGACTATCTACGAACCGAACTTGTAATTGTTAATTGATTGCAAATCGTCAATATTCAATATTTCAGATCCGAATTGCCGACTTGCACACATTTAGTGAGAAGATTGAAATAGAGGGTAAAGCCACGGATCAAAAATCATCGGGACGATGTTGGTTGTTCGCTGCTACAAATGTACTGCGATTATATATCATGAAAAAGTAAGTTCGAATTGCAGTACAGTATTGAACTAGTAATCAACAATCAATAAAAACACTAATTTACCTTTGAAAATTCTTCTTGCATGTCTATTTCAGATATAATCTCGATGATTTCGAATTATCACAATCGTATTTATTTTTTTACGACAAGTTGGAGAAATCGAATTGTAAGCAACAAAATGATAATCCTCCAACTCCGCTCGACAATTTTATATGATAAACACGTATCCCCGGGACAAATTTTCGTTTGGTTGATGGTTGTAATTCCCTTGTATCCGCTCGTCACCCATAGCTGACTCTCTTCTTTTTAACTCATAGGGTTCCTTGAAAATATGATTTCACTCGTCGAAGAACCAATCGATTCTCGATTGATCCAATATCTCCTCTCTGATCCAGTTTCCGACGGCGGACAATGGGATATGGTGCTCAATCTAGTCGGCAAATATGGCGTAGTTCCGAAAAGCGTTTTCCCCGAAACCTACCAATCCTCAAACTCATCTCGCTTGAACTCTATTCTCAAGGCAAAATTAAGGGAATATGCGCGTGAAATAAGAGAGTTGCACAAACTCGGAAAGAACGTTGCAGTCATGAGAAAAACAAAAAAGAAAATGATGGAAGAGGTCTATAGAATCGTTGCGATTGCGCTGGGGGAGCCGCCCAAGATGTTTGATTGGTGCTTTAGAGATATAAGCGGCAAGTTTTGCGAGTATACGAATCTAACGCCCGAAAGGTTCTTTAATGAATTCGTTGGATATAAGGTAAGATGAGTAATAAATGGAATATATGCAATGATCCTGATATGGTATCTGATTTGCACGTGCTTGACGTCTGCTCTCGTCTCCCCTAGGCCTCCGAAACCTTTTCTCTGATAAACGATCCCCGTAATCCATACAATCGCCTATACACTGTAGCCTATCTCGGTAATGTCTCGGGCGGACTTCCAATCCGATACGTCAACATACCCTCTTCCAAAATGCAATCGATAGCCATATCCGTCTTGCGTTCCAAAAAACCTGTTTGGTTCGGGGCTGATGTCGGAAAATTCTCCAATTCGTGTCTCGGAATCCTCGATAACGATATTTATGACTATTCTCTTGGATTTAATATTAGCTTCAACATGAATAAGGGAGACAGATTGCAATATGCCGAGTCATCGATGACTCACGCAATGGTGTTCACCGGTGTACATTTGGAAGACGGGAAGCCTATTAGATGGAGAGTAGAAAATTCATGGGGTCAGGATAGAGGTGATGAAGGATACTTTGTTATGTCGAACGATTGGTTCCATGAATGGGTTTATCAGATTGTAGTTGAAAAGGGGGACGTCGAGAAAGAGGTGCTGGATGTATTAAACCAGGAACCTATAGTATTAACAGCATGGGATCCGTTGGGGTCGTTAGCTATTGAGTAGAATAAGCGTAAGAGATTACGTAGGCGGACATTGGTTTTAATAGTAATATTAATGGGTGAATATTGTTACATAGTTTTGATTATATTATTATAGACGGTTAATAAACATTTGTCATGAATGATACACGCGCTAGAAGATTATCTCTTAAGTGTACGTCTATTTAAGACAAGATCGAATAGGCCATTAGGAGGGTGGACAAAAGTTTCGAACAATTTTTCACTCAATATCAACCTTAAAACTTTTTAGCATTAGTCAATTAACATTTTGCCATGCTTTTTATCGTAACGGTCAAGGTCATTAGGATTAGATGCGGTTTTTATATTTACGAATAGAATACGGATGTTACTCCGCAGCTAACGGTCTCTGAAATGGTTCTAAAACTATCACCACGTTTATGACAGTAAATTATGGCTCCACATTGTGTCAAGCTTTTTTCAGTATTACATATCATCATCATTATTATTATGGAAACGCCCCGCAAGTCTTCTTTGGTTTCTAGGCCGATACTTGTAGTCCGGGTGCATTTCCCTGAAGTTTTGGCCTCCGCAAGCTTCAAAAACGGTTTTCGGAAGCGCTGAGTGTCTTCCAATTAAGAATAGAGGCGGGCCATAACGATTGTCGACGCCTCATAAACATGTTTTTCGGAGTCACCAAGTGACTTCCACGCGTCTATCGCAAGCTTCAGGCCACTACCGTGCTGCCCGTTGTTTAAAAAACCGCATTATTACGTTGATGTGCTGTTAAAAAGACGGCAAGGTCAGCGTTCTTGTGCTTTTCTTTCGGCGGGCTCGGTATGAGTGAAACCTCCGCAGTCCGTGTGTTATAGTTATAGTGCGTGTTATGGCCGTCGAAGAGGTATTACGGAGAGGTGATGACTTGTCAGAGAAGATTGCTTTTAGTCCGATAGACATTTGATTTAGGGAAGTTACATCGCTGCTGTGGGTTGCACAGATTTTCACCTGGTCTATTTATTCTGACAGCTGAGTACAGTGAAACTTGTTTATGCAGGGTTGGTTGGCATAGTCGACAAACAAGGGAACTCTGGAATTCCAAAAACGGGTATCAGAATGACGATAGTAATAGACTGATTTTTTTTTCCCTGACTGACGTGCATGCATTCGCTAAGCCTTTGATGGCCTACACACGTATTGTAACAAAATCTCTAAGCCACAAGAAAAAATTTTCCCTTAATCTGTAGGACGAATTTCATCTACGTCACCTTATACATTTCCCCTTTTGGGTTCTGTCACATTTTTTTAATAACACGTGAACAATAATAATGGCGAAATAAATATGCTTATTTCGAATTGGATTTTTAATCGGGCTAGCCAGAACATTTCCACCTTGGGTTGTTAATAAAAAGAATTTACCATATCCACTGCTGCGATTATGATAAGATCCCCTGTTATGTGTTTGTCAATAGATGCACGCGTTTTGAAGAATAATGACAGGCACTCGATTTTAGTGTTATTTCCAGACATACCAAAATGTTGCACCATAGTACGAATTTTCACTACGAAGAACCTTATACACAACGAGGTGCTCGCTAAAACCCAGTTTGAGCCGGTTTTATCTATATACTTACATGCAGGGGATGAGAATGAAAGCCCATATGACGGCAGTTATTGGGGGATGTCAGCATGTAAATTTTCACCAGGCAACAGTCTCTTCATACAGATTTGTTTATATTCATTATACAGTCGACTATAGAACAGTATCTATTAAAAAAGGACGTGTAAAATTTCGTACACGATTGTCAGTTTAATTTATTTACTAGGTATATGAAATCACTTCGAATAACTATACTTTTATTTCCTCATTTAAAATAGTATTTTATATTTTAAAAAAATCCGTGTTTAAATTATAAATCTATTTTACTTATTCCCTGGTGAAGTGCTGTGCTAAAAGCCTTTCTGAATGAGACCAAACTTGCCATCGATTCCATTGGAATCTTTGACATCGGGATTATTTAATTCCTTACAAACGCATTTAGTTTAGAAAACTTTCCTCGCCTAGGCTTTTGAAATAATCCCCTCAAAAGAAGCAAATCTAGGAACGGCGTATACAAGACCGATTTTACGTCATGAGTATTTTGAAACTCAACGTTAAGGTCCCTAATTGTTTTAGCACGAGTAGAGGTAGTCAAAGACTTCGTTTAAAAGCTAAATCCCAAGGCCAGTGTACGATCAATCAGATTACTACCACAGAATGGCTAGTCAGGTATTTTTCCGTGAAAGTTTTACGCAAATAGTATACCAGAAAAACATACGTCAGCAATTGTAACTGAATATCTTCAAAAGTAACGGGTAACACTTCTTCCCAATCTTCCACATAGTCCTGATCTTGCTCCTTGTGATTTTTTCGAATCAAGAAAGAACTGGAGGAAAAGAAGTTTGACGTCTGCAACATTTGCACAATAAACCATAGATATATTGGGACTTGTGTTCCCAATCCAATCCAATTCTGTTACACAATGAATCGTATTAGTGCGAGTGCGAGTGGGCTACATCAAGAATTCAAGGTGAATAACCTCTGACAAAAGCCTTGACTTGTCTTTGTCAATATTTGAACGTGAAGAACACGATAATAAATTTTGAAATGCTTAAAGCACAGTTTAAATTGGGACATGTGTTTAAAACAGTAGGTAAATGAAAATTATTTATTTGTGCAACGATTAAGATAAAGATGCAAAAGTTCAAATTTCCCACCCAAATTGTTGTCGTCTTGAACCATTTATCCCAAATGGACAACTTGAAAGGATCGTCCAATATTACATCATCGGCTCCCCCGTGCATGCAAGGTATAACTCTCATTAAAGTTCAAAACCGCACGTTTCGTATTCCAACGAGTACACTACCCAAAGACTATAACTGCACGACAACTTCGGGTAATGTATTCAATCATTCAATCTTGTCATTGACAAGTATAACTATATTACTGATAATTGGGAAATTAACAGATCTTGTTCTATGCAATATCTAAAACGTCAGACGCGACTATGAAAGATGAGACTGCAATAATGGCTGAAAAGCCATCGGTTGGCGTCTCTACCAATATTTCTGAAAATAACGAGAATAGTTTGTCTGAGCAAATCCAACATACGATGGAATTTACGAATGTAGACGCATTGAAGGGAATCATTATAGGTATAAGCGAACGCTCTCAACCTGAACAGGCTAAATTAATGCATTTGGCTAATATGAGCAATATTGATTCTATTAGGTCAAAATGGAAACACTGTAAAACAGCTTCAATGGGAGACAGAGACAACGATTAAAGTTGGAAATAGTATTGGTAATTATCATTTCAAAGATTTGAAATCCGGAAAATACCTGTGATTGACCTTGTATGAACCGTTCAGTTATCAAAGGTACCTCAGACGCGGTGGAATTAGCAATCATCAAAATCAAAAAGTTAATAGCGGACGTGAGTAACTAAATCAATTATCCTATTATTTCACGATTTTGCATAATATTTTGTATTATATCTCTACTAATTTCTTCTCGAATCGCTCCACCGCGTCAATTTCAGGCCATGCCTCGACTACGCCCAACTCATTTCATTTCACTTCCTCTTAAAGACCCAAACATTAAGCAAAAAGTTAGCACCCTACACACTGACATCCTAGCCCTCAACCTCCCCAATGTCGATAATTCACTCTTCCTTCATCCCGAAAAATTTCACTTTACTGTTGGTGTACTGAACTTGTACACAAAGGATGCTGTAGAAGGAGCCGTGAAGTTGCTAAAGGAGCTGTCCCCAGAGATTTACGATTTGGTCGGAACGAGGACGACTGTTGCAAAGCTGACGGGGTTGGAAGTGATGGAGAATAATCCGTCACAGGCCCATATTCTTTACGCAAAGATTGAGGAAGGAGAAGTTCTAGATAGTTTGAAGAAAGTAGCAGGTTAGTTTTAAAGTGAACAAGTATGGGCGTTTGGATAGTCTAGAATCGAGAGGGTATCCTCTTTTCTTAGCAAGGATGCCCTAGTTAATAATAATTGCATTTCCTAGAGCTTCTAAATGATAGATTCAAAAAGGCAGGATACCTGAAACCAGAGAATAGGCCATTAAAGGTACAGTAATCGGATTTGGTATCTTATGTTACCTATAATCTGACCAACTCTTTTATTTTTAATCTTTGTAATCAGTTTCATGCAACGATTATGAACACTAAATACCGTAAGAACAACTCGAGATATCCGAATTCTGACCGTCATAGATATCCGCGCGCACGACCGTTTTCAGCCGTACCAATATTGGAGAAATTTAAAAATCTGGAATTAGGAACTTGTCGAATAGAGGCAATACACATTGCTCGAATGGCAGGGGTTGATGAAACGGGTGGCTATATTAGTGAAGGGTGCATAATGCTGCCTTGACGAGCAAGAGAAAGTTAATGTTGATTAGAGTTACTTTACAAAGATCGTTTAACGTTTCTTACTTTTTATTTTATTTTTCGAACTAGAATAATCACAAATTCTGTAATATTATTGAAGCGATTTGTTAATTTGCTTCGATTCACGCAACAGCATTATCATAAATGTTGCGTTGTATACAGTTCGCGCTGTCACCATATGAGTTACCAGTTATAATGAAGCTTATTGAGATACAAAATATTAATATATAAATGTTCATACAGTAGGCTTTTTTGTATCTAATTGGTTTGCATCAACTTGTTCATGTGTAAAATAGTGGCATAAAGTTACTCGAGTAATAGTTTGATTGGTTGCTGATGCCAATCAGAATGCTGATCAGAACCCAGAGCCATAACTATCTTCCCTGCTTCACAACTCACTCTATATCTGCCTCATGAATCATTTAATGTATGATAATGTTTTATTCACAGTTGCTTTATTTGCGATCGTGGCTGTCATACTAGCTATAGGTATGTAACGTTATACTGTTTGGATATGATAGTCATTTGATATGTTATGTTGTATCTGACAATTTTAAATTAGCCATACAACAACTATACAAAAAGAAGAGTGCATACAATACTTATTTATTCTTGGGATTATCGGGCTCGGGCAAGACTGCATTATATGCAAAAGTAAACGAGTTCTCAAGAAGTGTTCCTTCTTTTTTCGACAAGAGTTGAGCTATTCAAGACAAGTATCTCATTTTGTTTCAGTTACGATATGACCAAGCAGTTGAGACACATACATCGATGAGAGAAAATGAAGCTTACGTCAGACTGTTTATTACGCTAATCGACGAAGTAATTAAATCATAACCAGTTTCTATATAATATTGATTCGGTCTTTCGATCTTGTTGTTTGCTAAATATCTGTCATTTACAACATACTTCCTTCCAAGACGGAACCACTGCTCAAGACGCCGGTTCACATTGTTGATGTACCAGGTCATGAAAAGCTGAGATTCAAATTTACTGAATTCATTCCTATTACTCGAGGCGTTGTATTTTTGATAGACAGCGCCGCAATTGGGAGAAGCGTCAGGCCTGTTGCCGAGTAAGAATTCGTCCGGGCATCAAGTTATCACGTGGAATTAATACTAATTTATCCGTTTCTTTCTCTCAGATATCTTTACGATATTTTAGCAAATAAACACGTGATTAAAAGAAAGATCCCGGTACTAATCGCTTGTAACAAGAAGGATCTCTTGACAGCACTGCCTCATGAGAAGATTCAGTTGTTACTCGAGGATGAGATGTGAGTGCTAATATCGGATTACGGTCACGTTTGATGCGTTATCATACTGATACTGTTAAACCGTTTTTGTACAGTGATCAATTACGAATTACACGTACGGCATCATTAGATCATAGGGATTCAGGAGACGAAATAGAGTTCCTTGGTTACGAAAACGAGAAATTCAAATTTGAACATTTAGTAAATAAAGTAGAGATTGTAGGCTGTTCTGTTGATAAGGATGAATTTAACAACATCAAAGAATGGATTACAGATGTCGAATCTGGATATTAAATCGAACAGCAGGTGAAATTGTGACTGTCATGAGTAATAAATAGTAATAGGGAATAAAGACTGTAATGTAAACAACGCATGCAGATTTTTGCGGCCATTGGATAATACACAGTAACACGGCAGGTCAAATCGCAGACAAAGCAATTTGTTCTAATTATGTTTGGGTCATACATCGGCAATTGAATCTTCGTATGTAGGATTGAATTATGTTAAATTCCTAAATAACTTGTATATCTGTATTAGCTTAATTATTTATTGAGTGCGAATAGTAAAGCAGTATACAACTAAAAGAAGAAAACGTCTTTAGTACTCAATATGAATATGATGATAACCGATTTACTCCAGCCGATCAATCGTTAACTAGAGGTTAATAAAATAATACGCCAAGCTAGGCTATTTCTCACAAAAAGAAGAAAAAAACTTTTAAAATGCCGCATAATCATTTCGACGCTTTTCCTTTCTTTTACGGTCCTTGTTATCCTCCTCTTTTTGCATAAGAATGACGAGTATTCTAACAAATACTCCAACCAGATCAATAAACAGATCCACGGTGTGTCCGACAACGTCTGTATATCCGCATGCCGCACGATAAATTATAGCTTGGGTATCATACAAGACTATAAAATAAATGAGATTTAAGCATCATTGTGTAAAGCAGATGCAGATTCCCAAAAAGTGAAACCTAACCCATCTCTTATCTAGCTATCCCACTAATGTATACTTACTGTATCCACAAAACATAAACAATCCAGTGTATAGTTCTATGCTCCATAAGAGTTTGGATCTAAAGAACATGTTGAATACTTGTGACCACAATAACAGATTCAGTACTGATCCAAGGAGACCTCCAAGATACAAATAGCTTCGTCTTTCGCACAGTAAGGCACTGAAAGTGAATGCAGCGAAGATTCCCGCTGTACAGAGAGCGGCAAAATATACCATTTCACCGCTTCGAGACGACAAGTTAGTAAGCAATTGTTCCATCAATATAGACTGGACGAGGTTAGGTGTGAAAAAGATGTAATACATACGATCCATCAATTGCAAATGCAAGTTTGATGAGCGGTCCAAGAGATAAACCTTCCATAAAAGCGAACACCTAACATCAGACACATATAAATATGACTTGGCAAAATCTCTTGACAAAATTCTCTCAAAGCAGATAATATATTACAAAGAATACTCACCCAAAGCAGCCCAAATCGCACGTTGTTATTCTCGGGCGTGGGACTTAGGCTCAATATACCAATCAGACTTCCGAGACCCACTAGGAAAGACAACAGTCCACCCTATATAAACCATACCAATATGAAATTAGTCCCGGTTGCTTTTAATGGTATGGTTAAGCTCGCTTCGCTTCTTATGAATTCAACAGCGACACTCACTCCATATATAACCATATCATTAACATGAAGGTAGGCACCCGCAGCGGCGGTCAAGCAAGTTAGAGCAAGAGTGCCATAAACCTTTGCCAGATGCACTCGAACGTTGCTTGAAACATTGCCATAATCTTTCATAGCCTCGGAAGGAACACTGCTAGTACTGGTTTCAAAGTACGACATTTTCGCACTATTTCAAAAAATGAACGAAGTGAGGGAAGGGGATTTCAGGGTTTCTGTTTGTTTGTGAATAGAGAAAGAGAGACAAGAGTCTCAGCATATGGGGTTCCGTGTCCTTTTAGCCCCCAATCATTGAGGAATAACTATTAATTCACGTGATTTTCGGGGCTGCGCGACTGCCAATTTCTTTATTTCTTTATGTAAACTGTTTTGTATTTTGTGTTTCTTCCCAGAATTTGGTTAGCGTTAGGGTAAATAAGCATTATTATGTTGCACACAAGCGCACGTTCACCCTTTTTATATTTGGTGGCACGTGAAGAAAATGATAATGTTCGATCAAATACCGAGTGAATCGATAGTTCCACAGTAAATTTGCGATAATTCATCCAAAAATGCTATCGCCAACTTTACAAGTCGAAAAGGATTATGTTGAATTTCAATAGGCACCGCGATATTTGATGAGTATAAAGAATAACGCATTAGTATCAGCATGATAATTTCAATAATTTTGACCAACATAAACATTTAAAAAAAGTTTTTGGACTAACGTTTTTATTAATTGGTCATACCAGCATTAAATACAGACACGCTCTTCATAATACGACAAACCGTTTTACTATTGCTATTCAGTAATTCCTCGACGGCATGTATGCATCAAATTAACATAAGTGCTTTTTCAACCTTTTCCAAAGAAGTGTAAACAAATAAAACAAATAGCGCAAGTGTTAGATGCCCTCTATGATTAGACGCGAATTTCGGAAAGGAATAGAGTTTATACATTCTATTCCAAAAACCTTTTTCGCGCACTCTATATATTCTGGTTGACAAAACTTGCATTTGATTGTAGAATACTAATAAAAACACTGACTACTATTCCAGAACCTGAACAAAAGAATAGAAATATTCATCAATAAACCAGCGCCTTGTGTCGTGACTTTTCTTGAGACCATAGAGGCGATTGGCGTCAGTTAGAGTGTAATGCGTTAAAAACTTGATGTTCTAATGTTGTCTTCTCTTCAAGAGAAGATACACTATTAGGTGTTAATTGGCGTAAATTCGCATTTTGAAGTGAATTTTCTATAAATAGTAAAATTGAAATGTTAATAAACGTGCTAATACTTTGCTTGTAAATGCATAAAACATTGTCTTGCTATTATGACTTTAAGGGAATGTATATAATAAGGCCTGAACTTGCTTATCACTAATAGTGAACTTGCTGTTTGCCCACATACACAGACATATCTTCAGACAGAATAACGAAATCTTGTGATTGACCACGGTACTGCTAGTAGTGATGGAAACAACTGCAACAGTCTTATGTTGACTATCCAAAAATCAATTTCCCTTATGTGCCCACACTGATAAATTGTTAAATACGTACTATTTTAAATTTCTCCAGTATTGACCGACTGAAAAATTAACTACAACATGCCATGATCTTTCCCCCCCACTTCCTTACGTTCGTTCTAAATATTTTAACTCGAATCTTGCCTCGTTATATACTGTAATAACGATGTAAAAGCCGATCGGAAGTTTTTCCATAGTTGGTAGACCTTATTTCAATGGACATTCGGACACATTGATCAAAACAGTATAGCCCTTAATCGCAACGCAGGTTAATAATATCGAACAATTTGCTATTACAAGAACATTATACCGGTCTAATGTTATTGATAAACGGCTATCCTGACTTCTTTGTATTGTTTAACTAATGTTCAAAATAGATTGGTCTGCTTCTGTCGAGCGTAATATTAACGATTTACTTCTTGGCGTATTATCAATGAACATGTCAATTTATTGTTATTGCTTTTCATATGGTTGATATTAATTATCCATGTTGAATTCTGAAAGAATAATCTGGCTACCACACATTGGTGAGTGATAGGTATCTTGTATCTCATACCGATAACCTTAATCCATTTAGCAATAAAAAACATTAAAATTAATATACAGTACTCGTTCATAAAACCGTTACAAGGGATAATCACGTTAAACTAACCTAAACAGTGCTTGTTAATTACTGTAGGGATATTTTTAGAAGCTCGCCCCTTTGATTGACAAAATGATATGAGAATGCCATTCAACCCAACTTTGGTCAAATGTGTAACAAAATCGAATTATGACTACAAATTACGACAGACACCTCTTTACCATTAATAAGAAGATTCATTAAAGGGGGGGGGCAAACAGGTTTGATATTACTCTCAACAAATAACGTGATTTGAGTTTGGGCATTTGGTATAGTCGGGCAAATAATACTGTCTAGTTACAAGTGCTGATTATTTTGTCTGAACTGAAGTTTTGTGATTACCTCGGTTATTTAATCAATAAGCTGTTTCGGGCCAATAATGCTACAACTGTGCTAGCTATTTTGGAAAAGAACCCATGCATAAATCGGGCTTCCGGTCAAAAAAGGTATTGTCACTATCCATTCTCATTAAATCTATTGCTATATTTGTATTAACAAAGAAAGACTTTTATTGTCCACAGTAAAACTTATTTAAATGCTTAGAATTTGGCGTCATCGTATGTAAATCCATCTTCTTACTTACAACTTATAAATCTCTTACTACTTAAAAATGAACCACCATAAACAAGGGTATATTCTGATACTTTGTCTTTCGATATTCATTATATCTGTCGCCTATGCAGCTTGTTCTGCCTCGCCAAATTGCGATTGCCCAGCCGACATTGCCTGCGCATGTCCTTCACTCTCAGGTGGCGGTCGATTCTGCGGCTTTCAAATGAGTAAGTAGTCAAACATTATCTTACAGATTAAATGACAGATATCCACAGAGTATAAAATGAGTAGGCACCGGATATACAGTGCAAAATCAAAACGACAGTTTATTACACAAAGACAGCAGTGCAAACGTTAGAAGTCAGTTTTATTACCTAAAATATCGGCAGCATCCGAAGCATTTTATGCAGTTTGAGCATAACTAAAAAGGGTGGCAAGCACGATTACATGCAGACATACTCCAAGGATAAATACATTGCAGACAAACCAACCAAATCTTAAATTTATTAGGACAAATTTACCGGAAACGCTAACAATTCGTTGAAAAACTTTGGGCAATTTTTCACGCACAGCAATGCTAAGTATAAAACTTTTTGTTGTATAAAACTGTCGAAAAGAATGCAACCACAAAACAGCTTACGCACTGTACGGTAAACATTGGTGGATATCTTATTACTACTTTGACCTACAATTTATTTCAATTTAAATATGCAGATTGTACCGGAAATCGCCTCCAAAATCTTGGTTACAGTGATCTTTGGCAGTGTTCAAGTACTGGCGGCAATTGCCGTTTCGGCTCTTGTCAGATCGGTTGCTGTGGGATAAAAGGCCAAAGCGCCTTCTGTTGCAAAGAGGCAAATTGTGCTGATTGCGTCAATATTAAACAAGTTTCTTGACGAACTTTTGTTCGGTTACCAATA